AATAAATAATAAATAATAAATAATAAATAATAAATAATAAATAATAAACAATAAATAATAAATAAGAAAAAAATAAAAATAAATAATAAATATAAATAAAAATAATAAATATTAAAAAAAAGAAAAAAAAAAGTAAATATAATTTACATACCCTATAAAAACAATAATATTTATTCACAGATTCCGTACTTACCTTGCTCCACAAAAAACTATCTTATAGATACAAAAGTATCTTTTTTAATATTTGCTCATATTCAAGCTGCCAGCGCATATGCCCCCTGGCGCTGCATATGCCAAAAGGCCAACAGCATAGTTAGCGGCAATTTTTGTGGTAATAGGCGTGGCGTGGGCGTGTCGGTCATGCAAATGCAACATTTATTTAGCCGGAATCGAGGAAGTGAAACGAGCGCACGTCGTTTGCATTTGGTTTTATTTTTATTGATGAGCTTTAATTGTATTGCGTACTCGCATACTTATAGACTATTTACACAGGTTAGCTTGCTTACATCGTGTGTGTGTTAAATAACGGTATGCTCATAGTGATGTACGAATGTACAATGTACACACACACACACATATACATACATATATCAGTTGTAGTTGTAAATTCTCACGTGCATTTCAGTTGCTTAAAGCTAGAAAACAGTTTACAAACACAAAAAATGTGAATAAAACCCGATCGAGTTAAATGTGAAAACTAAAAATTGCAGTTGCGGCTGGTGTTGTTGTTGTACTTGTAGCACCTGTCCGTGTCGCCATTTTGCAGCGCGTCAACTTCCGGGCGCCATATTGAAATGTCAGCGGCCTGCAGAGCAACCCGCTGCCGATGGCTGCCGCCGCTGCGGTCGTCGCGGCCAGCAGCAGCTGAACGCCGAGCAGAGCGACCCGCGGCGCACCTAGAGCAGGGGTAGTAATGCAAACGATGGCAGGTGAGCGGCGGTGCCGTGCAATTATATTTATTTATATTTGTAAATGGTCCAAATAGGCAACCGCCTGTCAGTCGGCATTTGGATGGGCATTTATTTTTAATTAGCTGCCCGCCACAGCTGTGTGTGTGTGCACATCACTTTGCCGGGCACTGTAATTGCGGTCGCATGCACTCACCTGACTTGTACAGCTCCTGATTCTTGCGATCGATGTCGTCCCGTATGACCAGCGCCTGCAGCGTGGACTCGCGCGTCAGCTGCGGATAGCTGCCGATCTCGGCCACGCAGCGCAGCTCGAGGCGTCGCTGCAGCTGCTTCTGTTGCCTGTGCTGCTGTTGTTGTTGCTGCTGTTGTTGTCGCTGCTGCTGCAGGCGCTGCAGTTGTGGCTGCTGGAAGCGCGGCTCGCTGGCATAAAAGTTCAGCTGCGAGACGATGCGCCGCAGCTTGTAATCGTGTGCCGTAATCGTTGTCTCTTCACTGGGCAACAGATCCAATTTGCTGGCCTGCATGAGATAGACAGCTGAGTTGTCGACGTGTGTGTGTGTGTCTGTGTGGGCGTCTCACTCACCTTGATGCCATTTATATACCAGCTAATCGTGGTCACCAGACTGGAATAATCTGTGCTACAATTGACCTGGACGAAATCATCTTCACGATACATCGAGTGGAAGCCGCTGATGAGCGGATTGTTTTGAGGCAGCGCTGCGTGGAAATAAAATATAGAAGATGACGGTGAGTTGGCGGCGATTAATAATTAATTAAGCTTTAAACACAAGCTTTGAAGTGGCCGAAAATATTCAAGTATAATCAAATATTGTAGATTTGAGATTGAATAGAAAGAAGCAGATTTTTAGATAGCTTGAATATTTGTTTTATTGTCATTTTAATTAAGTAATTTAATTTTATAATCTATTTATAGCCCGCAACATTTTCCTTAGCAGTTGTGTTTGCTTTGTGCATGGCGAATTAAGTTTATCAGCAACAGATTTTAATTGAGCCAGATCTTTCCCTTTGATCTCATAAGCTAGAGTGAGATAACTATATAGTCTAATTTTCTACAACAGGACTGTTAAAGTTTGTCATTGCACTGCTAACTATACAGTGAAGGCAATGTTAACAGAATTCCTGAGGTAAAGGTGCAAGACAGAAAAATGTTATGCTAAAATTGAGCGGATAAAGAGGATAGCGAATGGAGGAGGTGAACAAGATCATATAAAATAAATTTTTTACTATATTATAAACTCATTCGAATTCGATTCATATAATGTATGCACGAATCATTTGGAGCTCTGCCAAGTTTTGTTAAGTCAGTTACAAAGTTAACAGCAAGAAAGCAGACAGACAAAAACACAACGATGTATATAAAGTGTGCCAGAATATGAAGCTAACGATAATTTTATGTAGTGCATTAAGAAGTCGTTGGCTTGGCCACTTCTAATGAATGCAAATGAAAAGCAATTTCATTTGTCACTGGCCCTGAAACAGTTTCCTTACGCATTAAAGGACTCGCTTAAGCGAAATACAGCTTGAGTCTTCAAGCTTTATAAGCTCGAGATTTAAATATATATTATGAAAAAAAAAAAAAAATGTGAAGCAACATTTAAATAAAAAATTCTTAAATTTTAGTTAAGTTGTGCCTTTAATGGGTAAAAGTTTATGTATATAAGAACATAAAAAAGACGGAAGCTCTTGACGAAAATGCCGGAAAATCTTTTTTCATTTGACTGGCGAGAGGACATAATAAAATAATCAGATTATATAAGGTAGCAATAGTGCATTAGTGACAACTGCGAAGCTAATATTAAACGTGCATGAAACATGCAAATTTTGCAGCTTGTTGAACGACCCCAGCCTCAGTCCCAGTTCCATCTCCAGCTTCAGCTTCAGCTTCGGCCTCTGCCTTAGCCTCTGCCCGCGCCCTGCTTTGCCGTTAAGGCTGTGTTGTCTATGTTGTGCTCGTTGCTTGCTGTTGTTTATTTAACAACTTCTCTATTTGCTTTTGATAAATTTTTAAAAATATTTCAGCAGCGAGACGCACACCATGTACGACGCCGCGCATCTACAAGATATTTATTTTATATCAGCGAAAAAATAGATGATCATAAAACACATGCAGAGCGCGCAGAAACATCCTGCTGCGTGTGAGTGTGTGTGTGCGAGTGTGTGGGCAAAAGTAAAAGCGAAAATAAAAAGAGGAAAAACGAGGCACATAGACACACTCGGCCACAGACACACACACACACATACGTACACACATCCTGTGTGTGCATGGGGACGAGGCATGAGGCACTCGGTAGCGGAGCTTTTCATTTTAGCGATATCCTTTTTAAGCATAAAGTGCTGCCGTAAATCACAGAGGCGCACAACAACACACACACACATACACACACACACAGACACAGATACACATGGTCCGCACACCCGCAGACTCGAGGCAAGCAAGCGCGATTCCTGTGCGCTATTCCAGCGCTCTTGTTGCCTGCCCAGCATCACTCTCAGTGTAACTGCACTGTCTATGTGCATGTGTATGTGTGTGTGTGTGTGTGGCTAGGGATGCGAATCACATGCATCTCTTGGTTACATTTTATGAAAACGTTCAGAGCTCGCTGGCTGCTCGCTGGCTTGTTTCTTGCGCGAATACATCCTGCTGCCGGGCTGCTTATCCTGTGCGTGTTGCTGGCCGTTGCATGCGGCACGTTGCGCGCTGCACGTTGTTGCAAGCCACTTTGGCATATATGTATGCAAACGGCTTTTGCTCTTTGTCTCTCTCGCTCGCGCACTCTGCATGCTCCTTGCCGTTTTCTTTGCATGTTGTTTACCATTAAAATATCACGGAAATTACACATTTTACTTGGTTTATGCTGTGCGGCAGCGCAACGGGCATTTGCCGATGGATAGCGGTAAAAATATTTGCATTACATACGCACCCACACACACAAACACACACACACACTCATACAAACAAATATGCATGCATGCATGCATGCACTTTAATTTAAGACAAACAATTGAAATTGAATTTTATTACGTATACGCACCGTGGTGCGCGGCTTGGTGAAAACTTACCCTCAACGCTCATGTTGGCCGTGCGCTCGGAGAGCTTGAAGTGCGGCGCATCGCCGGACACTTCGCACCTGTAGACGCCCGTCGATTTGATGCCCAATAAATTCAAGTCCACACGACACGAGGATTCATTGCATTCGTAGCTGTTATCGATCAATTGCACGCCCGCCACCGGGAACTTGCGAAAAACGGTCTGCATTAGCGGCGCATATCTGTATGTTATTGGTAGAAAGAGACAGAGCATGAGAGAGAAGGAGAGAGACGGTTAGTTGGCCTAAAGGGTTTTCTTTGAGCAGCGGCAAATTGGCCGCAAATTGTGCCAGCTGCCATTTACTGTCCTTTTTCGGTGCCTGCCTGCCTGGTCAGCTGATAATCGGCCCAAAAGGCACACTAAAAGCTTTCAAGCCATAAACGAAACGAGGCCAGGAAATGGAGATTTTTCACACACAAGTGCCGGCACATGCACTCAGCTCTGTGCGTGTGTGTGTGTATGTGTGAGTGTGTGTGTGGGTGTGGCTGGGCGATTTCTTCAATTCGTTTTTGTATTGTAGATTGTTGCTCATTAATCCCTCAAATATATATTGAATCTATCTGCGGATAAATCTACAACAAAAGTGTTCAAGTGGAAAACTTCTTCAACGTCGAACAACAAAAGTGGCCATAGCACATAAATAAACAAGTGCGATATGCCAGAGTGTGCTCGACGCTCAAATACTCTGCAATCTGCGTGTGTGTGTGTGTGTGTGTGTGTGTGTGTGTGTGTGTGTGTGTGTGTGTGTGTGTATGTGTGTGTGTATGTGTGTGTGTGTGTGTGTATGTGTGTGTGTGTATGTGTGCATTGGCTACTGTCACATTTCGATTAGCTAACTATGCCCCACTTCGCTGTCTCCACTCGGTATTACAGAGAGAGAGAGGGAGAGAGACGGAGAGAGAGAGCGAAAAAATGCTCTCAACTTTTGTGGGCTGTTGTGGTGTTGATAAGTCGCTTTGTGCGCTACTTGTTAATAGGCGTAAGCTGGCGTTTGTTGCTTGTCCGAGACTGGGCAAGCTGTTACGCAAGACGATAGACTGGGCTGATGGGCTGCTTGAGCGGGAGGGATGGGTCGAATTATTTGCGGCTTAGATGCCGGCTGCTGTGGCAGCAAATCAACAAATTTGATAAGCAATATAAACTGGCTTGCTTGCTCTTGTTGCGTTTGCCTTTGCCTTTTTTGGGCTTGTGGCCGCGACTCGTTACATGGGCTTTGTGGCAGCTATTATGGTCTGTGTGTTGTGTTTAATGCCTATTTTCCACTTAGTTTTTCACATATTTGATGTGCAAAGCCAATAAATACTACGATAAAATAAACTACACGAGATAGCAGATCTCAACTAAAGTTAATTGTATATCAATTTATTTTTTTGTTGGTAGATTCAACTGAGTTTGCCTCTTAATTGGCGCCTAGCACATTATATACAAGATTTACAGTGAATACTAAAAGGAGTGTGAGAGAGGGAGATAAATATACTCTAATTGCGGAAAAAATTAAAGACATAAAAGACAAATTGATATTGACCAATGAAGGCGCTTTTTGAATATGAAGCACTTGAGCAAGCGAGACAGCCGTATGTTACGTACAAGCCTGCGATCAGTGCAGCTTAGAATAGTGCGACGCTGCAGCTCTTCATAAGTGCAAGCGTGACAGGTAGCTAGCGCTGCAAAGAATGACCGCTCTAACTGCCATGGGTAAATACACGAATTTGACCTGCAGTCAAAAAGGAGAAGACAAATATTTATATACTGGCTAATGTTTGTATTCTGCTAAAGTAACTAGTGCGCCATCTCTCTCTTGCACCATTATAAAAATGACACCAATTGAAAGTTTCTTTGCTTGCAGTGCGCAAATTTCTAGCTTTGAGCCAATGTTGGCGTTGTTTGTGCATCAAGCTCGCAAAATACATATATATATATATTTATATATATTTATATATATATAAAACTGTATATATATTGCGCATGTTTTAGCATTTTAAAGTTTTTTGTTTACATTAATTTGCAGTTGCATTACAAGTGCAAGTAAAATTGCAATTGGCCAGAGTTGACTTTTCATGTGCTGCTGTTGCTGTTGGCGCTGCCGCTGCAACAACGGCTGTTCCTGCTGTCTAATTAAAACTTTCGCTTAGCAGTCAACCCTCCCCTTATTACTTACTTGGGGTTGTAGTCAGATATGTGTGTGTGTGTGTCTGTGTGTGTGCAAAGCACCTAAGCGCTACTCATTCTCATTTTTAATTAAGCAAAACGCGAAGCAGTCACTTGAGATTTTTCATTACGCTGCAGTGCAAATACTTGCAGACGTGCACATATACATACATACACACATACATTCGTATGTGCATGCATGTAACTAACTTCCATCGGGGAGGGCCGACGATGATTATGATGATGATTATAATTTATGTGTGGCAATTTAATAATGATGTTAATGTCTGTGTTCCTCTTCTGATTGCATATTCACTATTTGAAATGGTCGTCTTGAGGTCAATTTGGCATTTAATAATCATTTCAGCTTGCCTCTGGCACAGCTCCTGAACAGATATCAGCTCCTATAGCAATTAGTTGGCTTTGTTGTCGCCTGTCTGGCTGCTGCTGCTGCTGCTGCTGCCACGTACGTGCAAAGGTTAAAATACGCAAGTGACTGATGGCTGCTGTTGTCGAGCAAGCCGAGTCGAGTCGAGTTGAGGCGAGCCGAGCCGAGCCGAGCTGCACGGCGAAAAGCCTATAAACCCAAAATGGGGCCAACCACAACAGTGTATTTCATATGGTAGGACATTTAAATTAATTTGCCAACGCATAAACGAACCAACGTAAATTAATTTATTTAATAATTCATTAGGCAAGAAAGTCGCATGACAATGAACATATTTATGTGGCAATTCTCGCTGTGTATGTGTGTGTGTGTGCGTGTCTGTGGGCTGTGTGGGTGTGGCTGAAACTGGTTACGAGTGAGAGCGGGCGTTACGCCCAGGGCTATGGCACAGATTTTGATGCATTTGACAGCTGCGCAGCCTTCGCAAAAATAACAAAATAAATATCATAAATTATAAACGCACACACACAGACTCTCTCCCTCTCTCTCTCTGTGTGTGTGTGTGCGCGCACTTTTGTGTACTTACCTAAAAAACTCGCCGTCGTTTTTGTACCACTTAACCGAATTTAACGTGTGACCACTTATGTCATAGCTGCAGGATAATGTCACGTTATCACGAAAATCAACAATTTGTGGCACATTGATGTCAGTCACAAGTAGACACTGAATGCGTCGCATAGCTGCCAAAAGAGAAACAGAGATAGAGACACGCTAATGTGTGAGTGTGAGCGAGATGGCGCATGTGAGGTAAACAGCAGCCAGCAGCTGCCGGCAGCAGCTCGATAAAAAAAAAAAAAAACAACGTCAGATAAAATGATGAAAAATGTCATAAAAATGCTGCACAAAATATATAGCGAAAAACGCAACGAACATTTTTGCATTTGTGTGTGTGTGTGCGTGAGTTTGCATAGCATAAATAAAGCTTCATCAGAGTTTATAATCGCAATGAAAAAAAGGTCAGATTGCATTTCATAAATATGTATTCCGTGTGCTGAGTCAAATGCTAATTGCTCCATATGGGTTATTTCAATATTTAAGCCTTCAATGTATTCAAATTGTTTGAAATCTTGTAATATTTATATGCATTTACATTTACTTCTATAAATATTGAAAAAATATATATATTTATAGGTAAATATAAAGGGGATTGCTTGTTATTGTATTGCATATATCTGTCAGCTTTGATAACATTGTGTGTCCTCTTGCTCTTGGTGGAAAATCTTTGATAACTACAGTATATAATACCGTATAGCTCGAACAAGAATTTAATAAAAAATATTCATTAGGATTAAATTGAATCCCAAGCTCATTTAGCCAGTCTGAGAAGCGCATAGAAAGGTTCTAAAGTGTTTTGCAGTTGAAGCTACAATAAAATGCTTTTCTATGTTTAAAGTGATTAAAGAGTTAAGTACATTAGGCGAGTGAAAAAAGGAGAACTTAATGTTGGGTAGATAAATTAACATAAAAAGAAATTAAGCAGAACACAGAGATGGCGAGAAAGACTGGAGGAGGGGGGGAGGCTGACGGAGAAAACGCGAAGCAGACAAATTGTGCAACGGAAAAAAACTGACGCACAACTTCTAATTGAATGAACTTGTAAAAATGCTCAACATCTGAAATGACACAGCAACAAAAAAGAACGAACGAGGAAAAGGAAAGGGGACAACAACAACAACAACGACAACAACAACAACAACTGCTAAACGTTTTCAGCCAACAACAACGAGAATGAAACCGCGCGTGGGTTTTTACAATTTGCGGAACGTTTTTAAGTGCAAACAGACAGCTGAAGAGGAAATGGCAGTAACAACAACAACAACAAAAGAAAAAAGTGGTTAATATCATTAGCTGAAATTGTTGCTGTTGCTGCTGTTGTTGTTGTTGTGGCAACTGCTTATTGCAACTGCAACATGCGCCAGCTGAAAAAGTTGTTGATAAATTTCCATAATCTTGGCCATGTCTCGTCGCATTCGCACAGCAGTTGCCGCATTGCATCGGAGAGCAGCGCTGTGCCGCATGATAAGCAACAATTTAATGCCAAGCAACGACGACAATTTGCAACTTGTCTGCATAATTTTTGTTGCTGCAAATGGCATTAGGCAACAGCGGCAGCAACAAGCACCACCAGCACCACTAGCACCACCAGCAGCCGCATCTCTCGTGAATTTAATTTGTTGCACTTTACAGTTGAAATAACTTGAGGTGTGGCAGCAAAAAAGTTTTCTGCCACAAACAACATAACTTCTTTAAGATGTCTATGCAGTGTGCTTACCTTGTAACCGTTACAGATTGAAAACCAGAGAGAGAGAGAGCGAGAGAGAGAGAGCGGAGATAGATAGAGATACTTTCTTATAATGCGCGACAGATTGCAGCCCGTCGACTGTCGGCCGTAATGTGAGCTTTGCATTCTGTTTTATGCCTTGTCAATGGCAGCAAACAAACTGAGAAACTTGTTTAAAGTTTCAATAGACAAACAAACAAAAGTGCCTAGCCTAGACGACAAAGAGGCGGAACTGCTGCTGCCGCTGCTGCATGCTGCACACACGCACACACATACATGCAAAGCGTGTGCTGAGTGTGACACGACTCCTTTGAAGCATGTCAAAGCTGCTGACTAGCAGTAACATGAAACAACAACAACAACAACAGCAACAAGAGCAACAACGACGATAACAACGACAATGGCAAACACATTTGCAAATGGCAGCGGCAACCGCAGCTTAATGACAGCCTCACACACACACACCAACACACACACACCAACACATGCTCACTGAGTTGGATGGAGGCGTAGGTGTACCACAGGTGGGCGGTAAAAGTTCAGTTGCGTGGCAGAAAGCATGACAGCTGTATCTGTGACCAAGCAGGTAAGACTATTTCTTCTTCATATATAAATTTATATATGCATGTGTGTGTGGGTGGGTGTGTGTGTGCGCATAGCAAACAGCGGCAGCTTCAAAGGCTTACTTCCAGCTAATACCCTTGAAATAATTTATACATATATCACTTAACGGTACTTTAATGCTTTTGAAGAACTCTCTGAATAAATACTTTACATTAAATTAATAATACTATACTCTTTTTAAAATAAAAATTTAATCCGTTGAAAAGCTCTCCACTCTCAAGCAGATAATGCTTAATTGGCACTTTAACAAAAAATAATTTATTATATATATAAATACATATATATTTTAACTACAATTAAATCAAAAGTCTTAAACATTTGCTATATGATTAAATTTAAATTTGCGAAAAAATCCAAAAGTAATAATCATAATAAAAAAAATAATAATAGCTTCAATATTAATATTCAATATTAAAAAGTTAAATTTATTGGTACATAAAAAAAAAATTTAATTCCCTTATGTTTTGTTGCCTATTTTTATAAGACTTAATTATCTTATCAAAAAAAAAGCAAAAAAAAAAAATATATATATAAAAATATAAAAATAAATAAATATAAAAAAAAATAAATAAAATAAAAATAAAATAAAATAATATTGTCCTTAATTTATCAGAACGTTTAAACAATATCTTGAAAAACTAATGTAATATTTTCATTTATTTATTTATTATATAAGTTGTAATATTAAATTTACATAATTTATGCATTATTATTATTTATTTATCTAAACTGATAGCATTTGTAATAAAGCTAAATAAAATATTTATTTTCTTGTCATTTTGTGTATCAAATAGTTGAGTTGTAAGAAAAAGCTAAAACTTAAAATATATTTTACTTAATTCTTTATAAATTAAACAAAAATTAAATAAATAATATTAAATAAATTATTAAAAGTACTTTTATTCAACTTTCTAAAAATTTCATATTCATTTATTTAAATAAATTATTGACATTAGTGCTCTATAATTATATTATTAAATATTATAATTAATTTAAAAATTAATAATTTAATAAATAATATAATTAATTTAATTAAATAAATTTGAATTAAATTCAAACAAGTTTGTATATATAAAATTTGATTTGCCTTATGCCGAACTACCCCATGCTGCACACAAAGGCTGTCACAGGCACAGCACAGGGTATTTAAATAAGTACATCAAATAGCCCAGGAAGAGGCAACTTTTTTGCATGGCAATCAACGCACTTGAGCAAAGTTTTTGCTGCCTAACAACGCCAAACAACTCCGATGGCAATTCAAGACCTCAATTTGATTCTTGCTGTTGTCGTCAACTCGACATGTGTGTGTGTGTGTGTGTGTGTGTGTGTGTGTGTGTGTGGGTATTACTTATGTATAGGTAGAGCAGGTTGTCTGATGCTTTGTCTGTTTGCTTGGCTGATTGTTGCACAGCTGTTCGCTTGTGGCTTACAAAAGCAAGGCGCAGCACGAAGCAAGGATTTTCCTTCTCCGGTAACCGTGAAAGTGCCTAAAGAAAGTCGCCAGACTTTCCCTTCTTTTTTTATAGCTGCTGCTGATGCTTCAATTGTTGTTGTTGTTGTTGCTGCTGTACATTTTATTTAAGGCATGCAGCGCATAGTTCTCTGCGCTTGACTCCACGTTGAGTGGATAATGCAAATTGCGTGCCCTGAAAAGTAGGCAACACACAAAAGTTGCTGCAGCCTTGGCTGCGAGTCCGAAAGAACCGTTCGCCGCGCTTACGATAAACGCCAGCGCAGACAAATCTGCACGGCCCGCAGCATAAAGAAATGCCAAGCATCTATAATTTGCATATAAATGCGACAAACGCTTCGAGCACCACGCCGCAGTCCGAGCGCTTGTTTGTTTTGGCTTTGCCTTGGCGTTTTCTCTTTTCCTTCGAATATCCATACCCTGTAAGTATAGGCAGTGCTTGAGCAGCGCGTCGAACTTATAAAGTGCCATAAATGTTTGATGAATGTCAGGCAGCAGAAGTCTGGCTAATTTTGTACACGAGTCTAAGCAAGTTGACCTCTTTAGATACATATATTCTGGCGGGGTCGAGTTTAATAAGCTCTTAAGAAGTTTCAGCTTTGCTCATAAATGATAAATATCGATTTTTTGCATAGGGCGTAGGTATATTAGAATGACGTATTTATTTGGAAGCTCTTTAGTTTTTGCTCCGTCAATGTCTTATCTCGATAAATATTGATTTCAGCATTGGATGAGCCTTATAACTTTTTGTTGAAAACGTTAACACAAATATCATATCATATATATCATATCATAAATACTTCTATCTGGCTTATCTCAACAATTATTTGACCTGATAAAAACTTCAATCGATAAATATCGATTGTAAATAATAAAAAGGATTGTTTATAATGTAAAAAGAAAGATTTAGAAAAGATCTAAAGCTTTATATGTTGTATAGCTAAATTCTATTAACAACTTTGTTTGATGTTGTTATTTTCACTTAAGAAAATTTCGATAAAAATCGATAAATCAAAAAAGGCCTAAAAAACATTTCTCTAGGCTCTATAGTTGTTCAGCTATGAAAAGCGGAAAACCCTACATTAGTCTTAGACTACACTTTGCTGCTTAAGGGGTATCACTTAGCTGTTCAATCGCTAGTTGATGCAATCTGATTTGAGTTTCTTTTCAGCTGGAGTTGAGCTTGTGGCAGGCGAACACAAATAAAGATGCTAATCTCACTAAAGCGTAGTTGCGCACAACAACAACAACAACAACAATTGAGCAGCTAAATGGCACTAAAAAAAAAGCCAAAAAAAAGGAAGCTAAAATAAAATAAATAGCCGTAGCTGCTGTCTGGCCAACTATGCGACGAGCGTTAAGCTAGAGCTGAGATTCCATAGCTGCTATTGCTATTGTTGTTGTTGTTGTTGTTGTTATGGCTGCTGCATAGCAAATGGGATTTAAGCCAAACAACAACAAGAGCAGCAGCAGCAGGAGTAGGAGCAGCAGCAGCAGGAGTAGCAGCAGGAGCAGCATCAGCATCAGCTAGAGCCATGCGAAACGTCAAAGTTGAAACTTGATTTTCCACATTGGCTGCGGCTGTTGGCTTTGCTGCATGCCACATCCGCTAGACATTAGTGTCAGTTTTTTGGCCACGCCCGGCGCAGCTAAACAATTTACAGGAATTTACAATAAAAATACATGCACACACACACACACACACGCGCACACGCACACAATTGCAATTGGTGGGAGGGGCGCAAACATAATTTACTTTCAGCCAGCCAAATCGCACACTTAATAAAATTGAAGACACTTGTAAAATAGGCAATTTGTTTAAATCAACTTTATGGCACTTGAGGCTGGCGACTCAGTCGAGTGCCGAACTGTCAGCAAGTCAGCCCACCACGCCCACTACGCCCATCGCACACCCACGCACTTGTAGCCAAATATTTATTTTGCCGGCAGCTCGGCTCACTCTTTGGCTGCCGCTGTAAATTTTAAAAGCGTCTATAAATTTTTAGAAAAGTGCAAATAAAATATAGCGCAAGTTTTTATGCCCCTCAGTCTGTGTATGTGTCTGTGTGTGTTTGTTTGTGTGTTTGTCTCTTTGTGTTTTGGGGCTAAATCCTTTAAGGCGTACTCCAAAATGAAATTGTCACATTTATGTTTCCTTTATGTAAATTCTTTTTTCTCGCTCTCGCGTCTACGGCTGCCTTGTCCTGGCTGGAATGTCCTTCGAATACTTCCAGCTGGTCCTAAATACTTTAAACAATGCATAAGAAAAAACTATGCAAATTTGTATGCGTGTGTGTGTGTGTGTCTGTGTGTGCCTGCCTTTGCATTGATTCTCATTCAGTTCGACAATGCCTTAGAAATTCTTTTTAATCTATTTAATATTATTTATATTTATAAATACTTATGATTTTATATATGTGAAAAAAGTTAGAGCAAAAGCTAAAATATGCTTCGAATAAAGTTGTTGATGTACAAATTTAATTTTGATGAAATATTTTAATGTTTGGTTCATTCAAAATAGTTTTTTTTACATAACTTAGTTTTGGCTATGACTGTTTTCGTTTATAAAAAAATCATGAATATTTACAAATTTAAAAAATATTAAATAAGTTAAAAAAGAATGCAGCGTAATAGTAGTAATGAGTTTATATGAAAAATTTGAAACAAATTATATAAAATAGACTCAAAAGCCGCAATAAATGAATTTACAAAAAAAAGGCTAAAAAATATGCAGTAAATTAATAGTAAACTATTAAAAACTTTAATTTGTTGTTTGTTTAAAATAGTAGTAAAGTATTAATAGCTTTAATTTGTAATTAGTAATGCTAAATTTGAAGACTTTAGCTTTAGTATAAGTAGTAATAGCTTTAATGTAATTATTAATGCTAAATTTGAAGACTTTAGCTTTAAATATAAGCGATATATAACCTTATATCTGATTTTTGATAGGGCTTTTAAGCAATAAAACGAAAAATAAATAAAAAATGAATTTCTAGTCGAATTAATGAAACTAAAAAGAGAACAGCAATCATTTTTTTTTTTTTTTTTTAGTAGAACCCTAAAAGATGTCAGGTCAAAACCCTCACTTCCTATCCAGTAATTAACCTATTAAAGATTCTGAGATCAACGTATTCCCATATAAGGGCTGATGAACGTATGGCCAGACAGGCAGACGACCTCAATTCGTGGCCTTAATCAAGAATAGATATACTTTATGTTCCTTGCCATGCCTCCTTCTGCCTTCAACAGCCATCACACTTATATGATGTGATTGCATTTTAATTTTGGATTAAAAATTGCAAATTTGACAATTGAAAAGGTCCTCAGTCCATTTTAGAGTAAAGTCTTCTAAGACTTAACAGCCCTTTCTTGTTTTTTTTTTCTCTATAAATTATTTACAATATTAATCTCTATATCTGCTCAAACTCATCAGTTTGGCTGTCAAAAAGTGCATTTCAGCTGGAGCTGTTTAATTATTAGCCCAGCCTGAAGAGATATTTAAAATTCTATTTACATTTCGTAGACATTTGTCTCGAATGCATTCGAAGCGAAGGAGTTGAATACTTTGAGCTGATTTTGTGTTTGCTTCAGCTGCGCGCTGTCAGCAACGTTTGCCACGCCTCTGCCTTCGACAAATGGCGTTGGGAAAATGGAAAACTGGGGACAGAAAGGACGCCGAGAAATTCAATTACTAAAACATTTCAGCGGGCAGCTGCAGCTGCTGTTGTTGTTGTTGTTCTCCCTCGATAGCAATACTAACTAGTTTAGTATGGCGACTATGTTTAAGAATAATGAGCGCAATAATTGGCGTAATCAATAATTGTTATTCAAGTGAGATTTCTGTGTGTGTGGGATTTCATTTGTGGGGCGCAATAATTGAAAGTGTATTTAAAAAACAATTTGGTCGCATGAAATTTGCATAAATTTCTGCGGTCTCGCCCATATTTACAAAATACGAATAACAACAACAACAACAGCAACAACAACAGCACATATTTATTGCTATGCTAATTTTAGAGTTTGGGTCACAGTGGCCACAAAAGGCAAGTGCACAAAAGCGCAAAGCGGAAACGGAAATGCCTAAATGACTTTTCATGGTGTCGCCATTGAAGGGTCAGGGCCCACTCTGTCTCTCTCTGTGTGCGTGTGCGTGTGTGTGTGTCTGTGTGCGTGTGTTCAAGTCAACCGCAAAGTTGGCCACGTCGTCGAGCTTGTCGTAAAAAAGGTTGAACAGCTTAAAGGGATTAAAAGCAAAAGGCAATAAAATGAAAAGTTTCAAATATTTTTATTATTATTATTATGAGAGCCAGCGGGTCCGCCGGGTCCGGGCCCCGACTAAAGCCTCGACTTTAAACTTACCCAGCAGCATATAGATGCCCAGCTGCAGCAGCCAGCAGCCAGCATTATCCATTCTATGCGATCCTTGGCCCAGGTCCTGTCGCATGCGAAAACTCTCCGTCCGGCATATTTTCAAATCAATTTTCTCTGCTTTGCTCTGTTTGCCGTACAATCTTCAAACATATTACTTTGCACTATGATTATGTATGTCTCTCTATATATATTTATGTCTATATCTACATCTATATCTGTGTTTGTTTCAATATCGACAAGTGCCATTAACAGGCCAACAAATCGAAACAAGCGCCGAGTCCTTGCTGGCCAAAAAAGAAAACAATATTCAGCATTCGCTGCTGGCGTTTAGTTTTTCTCAAATTCCGCTTTTTTATGCTTTTTGTTTTTTTTTTTTTCTTTTGTTGGTCGCTGTGTTTTAAGGTTATTAAATTTGAAAAGTTTTTTGGCGTCAAAGTGCGGCGTACTGAGACAGCAGACACACCCACACACACACAAACACTCACACACACGCACACACACACACACTTACACTTACACTTGCTCGTGGTCTATTGTGTCCGGCTTTTAGAAAGTTTTGGCTCAGACTTTTGTATATGCTCTGTCGCATGATCTAAAGTAGATATGATCGAGGGAGAGTGCTGAACTTTGACTTGACGGAGAAAGTGGAGTGGGAGGGGGCTTATAAAAGTGAGAGAATGAATGAAATAGATATGGATATAGACAGAGAAAGAGAGCGGTTAAGACAGAGAGAGAGGGAGAGAGATAGGAAAATATATAGAGGAAGAAGGAATTCCATGAGGGCGATATGAAGAGAAAGATAGGAAGAACTAGAACGAGATGGATATAGAAAAACAGGAAAATACAGAGGAAAATACACAACGGAGAGTGAGATAAAGAGATAACGATATATACAAAGAGTGAGTGAGAGAGAGAGAGACAGTAATAGTCTGAAGGAAAGATATCGAGAGAGACTTATATATGTATGTATAAATATGGAAAGAAATGGCGAAATAGAGAAAGAGAGAGACAGAGATAGATAGAAAGTGAGCGAAACATAGAGAGAGATATAGTGAGTGTGTGATATAGAAACTAGAGATAGCTATGTACATACGTATAGAGAGAGAGAGAGAGAGAGAGAGAGAGAGAGAGAGAGAGAGAGAGAGAGAG